AGACTTGATAGATCTTTTTAAAAAAGCAATGTATAGAATACTGAGTTACAGAACAAATGAAGGAGAGCTAACATCACCAACTGATTTCCAGCAGAATAGATTCATTACATGTTCCTGATTTTAGGAGGCTGATGAAGTAGCAAGGTGTGTCACATAAAACACAACCACTAATCTTTCTTCTAGACACTTTGAGAAGACAAAATGACTTCTAGAAGACATATCTAGACATCTCACTAGATGGGAAAAGCATGGGGAAATGTTGAAGGTTTGATAATGAAAAACAACCTATTGCTTTTTGGTGGGGGGGAAATCACAGTAGGCGATAGACAGCTTCTAAAATCCAGTTTGGGGAGGATTAAGGTATTATAAGTCAGAGTTCATTTTGCAATCTCATGTGACCATCACTCAAAGCAAAATCACCCATCACTCTGTAAGGGGTGACCTTCAAAAGGAGTTTGCCAAACTACCTAAAGACCAATATGACTTTCATGCAATTCAGAGGATGATACATGTCTCCCACATAAACAGTCCTCTAAGTGGTGCTTTCAACACAGCCCAGTACAGCAGTTACCAATCACACGGAGCTCCACTGGGTGCCTGAAATGTTGTGAGCCCAGGAAAATGAAATCGTATTTATAATTTAATAAATTTAAATAGATGTGGCTGGTAGATATTATATAGGATGGCACGGCTCTGAAATAATCTAGTAATACAATTATGAACAAAATAAAGTTTTGCTCTATTTATGTTGAGGACAAGAAAAATGACATGGAATGAGCCCTGGAGCATGACCTCTAAAGGCAAGTGTGCAGCTGCCTGAGCCAGGAGCCTGCAGTGAGCTGGCTGCACCACAGCTCTGGCTCCCTCACCACGGGGGGAAGATGTTGCCTAAAGATCTAAGTTCTTGGAGAGCTGGAAGTTCTCCAAGAGGGTGTTCAAGGTCTATATCACCTACAGTGTTTCTGTTGGTTTAAAATTAGTTTTCAGGAAAAACAGAAAATTAGTTTTCAGAACTACATAAGAAATGTGGAAGTAGAGACAAATCCAAACCATGCCCTTTTGTTCCACTATGATGACAGAGCTGAGGGACTGACTGCACCTGGACATTGCTGCTACCTGTCATCTCTGCTCTGTCTTGGGTAGCCACTTTGGGTGGCTGGTTTATGGTTCATACCCTTGGTCATTGGTTGTATAGGCAGCCTATAGTTTTTCTGATCTATATTTTGTTCTACTTAGCCATCACTGTCTAAAAGATATTTTTCATTCTTTTCACTCTTTCTGGTTATCAAGTCCAACATATTTAAAGGAAAAAGAAAGGAATATCTTGGTGGGAGAAATAAAGATGCTTCACTATTATTAAGCATTTCTATATACAAAGTACAGTGGTATCTCAGTTCACAAACTTAATTTGTTTTAAGATTTTGGAAAAGATGTCCACATTGTGTGTAGGAAACATGGCTGTGGTAGTGTTTGTCACCCAGTGCAAAGTTTGCAAACAAAAATAAAATTTTGTCAAATGCTTTTTTTTGTTTGTTTTAAGATAAGGTCTCACTATGTAGTTCATGCAGGCCTTGAATTCACTATGTAGCCCAGGCTACACTCAAACTCATAGTGGTCCTCCAGCTTTAGCCTCCTGAACTGGGATTACAGGTGTGCTCCACTATGATAAGTCTTATTTGAAAACCAAACTGCAAACAAAAGCCTTTGTGAACTGAGGTATCACTGTACTTTCTCCACCTCCAGCCCTACAAAGCAGAAGCTACTGTCCCCTCCTGTCACATGAGGAAAGAGGACAGGGAGGCAGCTATGACAGGAACCTGACTCTCCAAAGCCCTGGTCCGCCTTTTCCTTGCTGTTACACTGTATTCTAAGTCCATTTTACACTGTAAGTTTCAGAAAGAAATTCCACAGTCTCTTCTTCCATATCTGTCTTTCCATCCCGCCTTATTAAAAAACAAAAGAAAAAGAAATAGAGTGATTTTTATGGAATGATTCTGGACTGTGTAAAAAGATCAACAGCTATTGTATTAAGAAGGTCTACTTCTTTTCTGTTTTCAAGCACACTGAAAACACTTTTCTTTTGGTTACCAAAGCTTTAAATCATTAAAAGGATTATTCAAAGGAGTACTGTAAAGCTGCATGTGAAAAATTTGTGGAAAGTATTTTTTTAAAAAGGATAGTTCAGGGGGCCTGCCCCTTAGCTCAGTTTTGTTTTTGGGATTGAACTCAGTCCCTTGCACTTGCCAGGCAAGCACTTATTCTACTGAGCCATCTCCCCAGCCCCCCTTAGCTCAGTTTTTTAAGTGGCTGCTTCAACAAAGCAGTCAGGCTCAGGTTGCTGTGGTCTGATCCCCACAACTCAAGCCAGCCAAACTTGCCCTGAAGGTATTCGTAACAACAACAACAACAAAAAGGATAGTTCCAAAAGATGTATAAAATATTTGTTCCATTAGGAAAAAAACAACAAAACAAAAAAGTGTTTCAAAACCCATTCTCCAAAACCTTAGTTTGTAGAACTAGTGGAATTGCTGTTACTTTTGCCAAAGAAGCAAGTAACCACGTATCAAGAAGCCTTGTGAGCTCAAGCTCACGGCCACCTAAGCATGTAAGGATAACAGACAACATATCATGGGCATCACACAGCTCAAAAAGTAAGGAAATAGGTAGAAAAAGGAAATCTCTTCTGATAGGGCATCTATAACCTTGTATTTTTACATTATCCATAATTTTTTAAAAAAATAGTCAATTTAAAAAAATAGTCAATTTTGTGTTTGAAAGATGAGTTACAGAATTCATAGCATTTTAGTACTTCAAAATAGTTTAGTGTTAAGAATTATGATTATGAATGATTGAGTAAAAACTTCTAATAAAAAACATGGAATAGGAATTTAAATAGCTCAATAAAACACCTATTTTTTAATTTAAAAACAAAGCACTATAGTGGCCATAACCAACTGGATTCCAATCTTGGGTCAACTCTTACTGGTTCAAAGATTTTGGACAAGGCTCTTTGCCTCACTTTTCTCATCTAAAAAAATGAGGAAAATAATTTGTAAGATGGTTGTAAGGATTAAATGAACAAGCAAATCACAGAATATTCAGGGCAGAGAGCTCTTTTTTTTTTCTACCAATCTTTGTAACTGAGAAGTCAATAAGATAAAATAATTATCTTTAATATTGACTGGAAATTTTTAAGCAAGCTGCCATCAGATGTTGTAGCATTAGTAAGAATTTATATATATTTTACCTAGATATCATGAAAGGAATTTTTTTTTCTTTGCAAAGGCTCCTGTAGGAAAACTTGAGGAGGGCATGGTATTGCTCATGTGGTGTTTTTGCCATATAAAAGGAATTTTGGCATGGTAATAATATCAATAATATATTCCTGATATACTAGGTTATTGGAGGGCATGAGTAAACATTTTTTATGTAAACATTTTTAAATATAGTAATGTGCTTCATAAGTACCAAAAATGGGAAAAGTTTCATAAGCTGTTTGATTGTAAGTTGTATTCAAACTAGAAAATGGTATCCAGAGGGTTGCTTGGATAAATTATACATTTCTTTTGTTTTCTTTATTATTTTTGTCTTTTTGCGGCAGAGTATCTTTCATTTCACAGTTCAGGCCGGCCTTGAATTCACTTTGTAGCCCAGGCTGGCCTCGAACTCAGTGATCCTCCTTGCCTCAGCCTCCCAACTGCTGGTTACAGGCATGTGCCACTACACCCACCTAACTTATAAATTTTTCTACAAATAATAATATTATTATTTAATATTAATATATTATTATATAATAATTATTTCTCCCAAATAATACAAGGCTCCTGAAACTCAGAAAGAAGTCTTTTCTTTATGAAGATGGGTTGTGGCAACTTAGTTTCCTGACTTCATGGGAAAAGAGTGCCAAGAAAAACTTACCCTGCCCTGGGCTTTGCTTTTCAGAAGGGAAAATCAGAGGGAGCGATCAGAAGTCACTGGGCACTCAAGAAACAAGAGTGAGAACAATCAGAACTAAAGCATCTCCGCCTGGCGCGAGCTCTCTGGCCATTTTGCCCAGCCCTCTTGCAGCGCTGCACTCTCCTTCCAGCACCTCTGAGAGGGGGCCCATCAGCCCCTGCCTAAGTGCTTCCAATGGAGAGAGCTTCCTTTCTTCATTCTGCTTGATCCAAGCCAGAAACCTACGGTGCACCACAGATCCTGCACATCATCCAGTCCGGACTACTCCTTCAGTAGTCCCCCAGGCTCTCCCCCACTATCTTAGTTGAGGCCTCCCCTTCTTACCCTTTTTGTGGTCCTAAAACAGCAGAGCACTACCAGACTTCCTGCAATCAACTACTACTGTAATACATCTTCATAGAGCTTCCTGGAGAGATGTTTTAAAATACAAATCTAATTGTTATTTTTCTGCTTCAATACTTTGATGGCTCACGAGCACAAACAGCAGGAAGTCTAAGGTTTTAGCTTGACATGCATGATATTATCAAACTCTCCACCATCCATTTCAGCAATACTAAATGATTGTAGAAATCAGACACACTAAGCTGTTCTGTATCTCCACAGTCTTGCTCTGGCTTCTGATTGAAATATTCTTTCCTCCTTCTTGTCAACCAGTTAAATCAGACCAGTAATTAGCTCCAGAAAAGCATCTTTTGACACTTTCCTCTGTGTAATATAAAAAAATTCCACATGTATCTCTGTGATTGCATTTATCATACTATACTGAATTTACTGACAAGTTCACCTCTTTTCCTCCACAAGTCCTTTGAGGCAGGGATCATGTCAGCATTTATACCACAAGGCACAACGCATGATAGCAGGTGTTTAATTCATGCCTAGAAAACACCAAGGGTTTCCGCTGGTGGGAGTTAAATTTTATAACTCCAATAGTCCAACTTTTGTTCCATGGAGCAATCGAAACTATCTCTCTAGGAAAACAGAACATTTGCCTAGTGCATAAGAAGACAAAGTTTAAATACCACTTCTATGACATTTATACTTACCTAAGTTGCTGTATGTTGCACTACAGGGGTTTGGGTCCACAGGCTCTGAAGCATCTTCTTTTTCCTCCTCTTTTTCTGGGTTAGGTGATGGCAATGCTGGTGAGACAGAAGTGCAGCCCCCGCCATCTTGCTTTGTAAGAGGTCTTGGATCCCGAGCAGAAAATTTCTCAGCCAATTCATGGGTCACATGACTGTAACAAATCAGATAGCTTGTCACACTGGTATTTAAAAGGTCTGCTAAAATTCAGTAAGAGATACACTTTCCAAAAAGGCTAACTGGTCCTGTGGTTACAACAATGGGTCATAAACCCCCACACACTTGTTACTTCCGTGTACAAGGAATATTTACACTAGGATGAGACTTCATTTTCCTTGATTCCCATATATTTATTCAGTTTGTCAGTGTGGGTATAGTAGGTTAAAGGAAACATGAAAACAATAGGCAAGGAGTGAAATAATTGTTTTCTTAGGAGGTGACAATGATGAGGCAGAAAGTGCTGCATACTTAACTAGTTAAAGACAAATGTACTCAGTATTTAGTAAAGCATCTGGTATATTTACTATACTATGTTTATTATATTAGATGATAATACTCTAATACTATATTAAATAATACTTTAATACTATAGTAAATATACTAAAGTATTTCTTTAGTATGTAATATTTACTACACACTAAAGTATCTGCCAAATTACTTAGTAAAGGACCAAAAATAAAGTTAAAATTAGATTATTTAGATAATGAAATTAAGGGCTGGTGAGATAGCTCAGCAGTCTAAAGCACCTGCTTAGGCAAGCTTAGGCAGGCACAGGAGACCTTGGTTCTATCCCCAGTACCACATGCCATGCCAGCCCTGCCCTCAAGGTGGGCTGAGCCAGCAAAAAAAAAAAAATGAAATTAAGGAACTGTTTTGGCAGGTAAACTGAGGATGGGATGATCTTACTCCCAGGAGGACAAAGCAATGGCCTTTGCCTAGGAGAAAAAGTTCTGCATTCTACTTAATCTATTAAAATGATCTGCAGCATCTTTCAGTGAATGGCCAAGCTGGTTTTTTATTCTCTGCTAATCTCACAGCTATCTCTTCCTAGTCTCCCTATCCTCCAACCTACAACAACTGAGCTGATTCTCTTGCTATAATGCAGAGTGCTACAAGAAACCAGCCCAGTTAGAAAAATATGAATGGGGTGGTCAGGCATTTTTAAAGATTTCTGGGTTTCTAAAAAGTCTTCCTAGACTATCACACATGTATTGGCTCTTCTTCCCAAATTCTTTAGAAGCAAAGAGAAGGAAAGGAAACATACGATTACACGTTATTTCTGGATTTTCCACTGGCAGTGAGTCATGGTGACATTTATAAGTTTCTTTAAAAGAAGTACTTTGTTTGACCATGTATCTTCAGAACATATGTCGCATGCAGATTTAGAGGAACAGATTAGAAAGGAAAGGAGTCTCTTCTTCTCAATCTTTCATTATGAAAATTATGCATGTGTCTAGACAGAAAAATAAGCCTGAAAATCTGTTGGTTATACAACTTCAAAACTAGAAGAGTCATTGGTCTCTCTATATCAGCAGTGTGCAATGAACTGGAAGTTCCATTATGGGATCCTGTTCTTGGGGGCAGGGGTGAGATGGGAAGGAAAGTGCTCCACCAGCAGTCAACTGTGCAGTCTGTATGAAGGAGGTTGCGCACAATGAAGCATGGTACTGCTTCTCAATGGGCCGCCCACTGCTACAGCAGGGGCTCCACACAAAGCTAGTTTCTCATCATAGGAGAAATCATAAAAATCAAGGTAATAAGGGAGAATCTACTTTCATGCAACAGCAAGGGCAAAGTGACACTTCCAAAACATTCAGGACAACACAGTACTAAGACTATATTACTGTGTAGTTAGTTAAAACATGTTTTAGGAGATTGAATGTGTTCTCTGTTGGGCAAAAGCTACTATAACCCACTTCTAATTTCAAAGTGATAAACATAAAGTGATTCAAAAATACAACTTTGCTTTTGAAAGGAAAAATGTTAAAGCTCCAGACATTCTCATACTTTGGGAGTCAGCTACAGAGGTTTCCTAAAAAGCTGTTTTGGTGCTTCTGATTGCTATAACCTGCCCATTTCCTTTATATCCCCAAACTCTTGGTTATTACCCAGCAAAAGCTCTCCTTTCCTTTCGTCAGAAAGGGTTGGTGAAAAATTCAGGAGCTGGGCCTCCATCCTCACTTGTTTTCCTGCCAGGCCTGGGCTACCCACGGTAAAGTTCAGCTCTTGTGAAAGCCTCTGAAAAAGCTGCTATTAATCTACAAGGAAGTCCGTGGGCCTACTCCACAGACATGTATCATAGCTCATAGTCTGAAAGGCCCGTGAAATAAAACATAGATGCTAAAGAACAAGAAATGCCAAAAACTTACCCACTATATTCACTCACGCAATTCCCCATTAAAGGAAATTTTCACAGTGCCTCCTTGAGCCTGCTAATCATGTTCTGAGACTGATGAACCAGAGTCCACCGTAAAGCTACAAGCTAGGCAAGTTATGAGAAGAGGCTTGAATCCTGCACCTCAATAACATCCACTGCACCTTGACCTTTACCTTAGGGGTTTGGTCTGGGAAATGTGCCAAATTACCTTTGGGGAGCTAGGCAAAGGGAAAGCTAGTTTTATTAACTCTTTGAGGACCAGGGTAGCACAGCTTGCATTCTAGATAAAGACTATTTTTCAGACACACATTCTGAATGAATGCACTGGTATCAGGTCACCAATTAAAATATTTGTCGACTACTAAAACTATGCAAAAAGAGTACCTGAAAGTAAAATCACACAGATTTGTACAGTGATGCTAAGATGTTAATTTGTATTTAAGGTGTTAGCAGAGTCTAAAAGGAGTATGAATATTAAAAAATGCATCAATGATGTGTCATGTCTAAATGCTTGGGGGAAGAACAGCTCTTTGTATGATTAAAATAGTAAAAAAGAGAGGGAAAGAGAGAAAGGTTCTGAGAGTTCACACTTAGGTGTAGTAATATGCTAAGTTTAAAAAAATGAAAAAAATTGAGAATTACATTAGGGAAGGTTGACTTGGTCCTTAGATATAATATAAATGGAAAAATCATCCAGGAAGAAAGAAGAAAGTAAAATCTTACTATCAATTTATCATTAGGCATATTCAACTTATTAGCGAATTTAATTTTGGAGGATTGATTTTGTTTCCTACTTAGACATAAAATCAGAAGATCCTCCCGAACACTAAGATGGCCATTTACAAACACAATGTTTATCTCCTAACAAAATATTTTACTACCAGCCTACATTTCATTGGGAAATGTTTAATGTAATGGAGAAAGCATAAAAACTGGGAAAACACTAAAAATGGGTTTTGGTACTGGACTAAAAATGAGAAACATTAAAAATGGCTTTATTTCCCTACTACTTTATTCTTCTGAACAAACTTGACCCATTAGGAAGGAAATAATGGAGAAAATTAAAAATTTCCTCGCTGCATCAGTGAGACAGGTGATAAAAAATTTCTTTAAAATGATAATTAGAGGGCTAGAGAGATAGCTCAGTGAACTAAGTGCCTGCTTAGTAAGCACAGGGACCAAGGTTCATCCCCAGCACCACATGCGGCACCAGCCTTGCCCCCCTCCCAGGGTGCACTGAGACCGTGCATGGTGGTCCATGCCTGTAATCCCAGCCCTGGGGAGGCTGAAAACAGGAGTATCCTATGAGTCTGAGCTGCATGGTGAGACCTTGTACAAAATTAAAAAACAAGAAACAAAACAAAACAAAAACGATAATTAGAAGAAATAAGTGAGAATTTCTTACACATTCTGAAATAGTGAAATAGTGTCCATGGTAACTAGATGCCCCCATTAAGTAAATTTGATACTCATTCCTATAAAACAGAACAGTTATAGGATAAGTGACCCACAAGAGGAGGTTGTGGTTTTTATATTTTTGTTGCTTAAATTCATTGTTGAAACAATCCTTTGTCCTACAGTACAAGGTAACAATCTATAATAACTAAGGTGATCAGGTTAGTGAAACCTTGACTTATCTTATTCTGTCCTAGACTCTCAATTATCATTTTGCTTTCATAATGGAAGACAACATGTTTGATGATACAGGCATCCCTCTATATCCTTGTGTTCGGCATCCTTGGATTTAACCTCTAATAGCTTGAAGACATTTAGGGTGAAAAAAATCGAGTCTCTATTGAACATTTATGGAATTTTCCCACCATTCCTCAAACAAAACAGTATAACAAGATTTACATAGCACTTACATTTTATTAGGTTATAATAAGTAGTCTAGAGAAGATTTAAAATCTACAAGAGGATAGCTGTAGGGTATACATAAATATGATACCATTTTACATAGGGGAATTTTAGCATTCAAAGAGGTCCTGAAACCAAGCCCCAGAATACCCCAAAGGATGACTTTACACTCTTCCACCAACTTTTCTTTAGTGGCCACTTTTAATTGCAGTTTGGGGTGTCTGACCTGACACTTCAAAATCATGTCATAAACTCCACAAAGACAATTCATTTTCTGAACATGCAGAATAAATGTAAGTGTTCAAAGGAGACAGTAACATTGTTGCAGATTTGTTATATAAACAAATCCCTTGGCAGGTTCTATCTCATCAGTCTGCAATATTCATACATAATTCAAAGCTGCAGAAGCAAATCTCCTGTGGGAAGCTCACTCAGCTTACCCAGGTGGTAGGATTAATCATTACACCATCAAATGAAATAATCCTTTTTTTTTCCTGGCAAATTTGTTCAAGACAGATTTTTACAAAAATTCTGTTAAATGTCTGAAAGTATTTTTTAAAGAGGCAAATCAAATTCCACATTAGAACAGATAAAGTCCTTTATGTATCCAAACATTTCAAATCAACTTTACCTTTCATTCAACCACCTGCATCCAGCTTCAGAAGGGACAGTTAACAAAATCATTCTTCAGAGACCATTTGCCTGTTGGGATAAATGGTCTTCCTTACCATGTACCAGTCCTTTCAGTAGGTACGTGTGTCTCCGGGTACCAAAGACCATGAATAAAGAAGAAACATGTGCTTTTCAAAAGCTCCTTTGACCCATAAAAAACAGACTAAAGTATATCAGAAACAAATTTTCATGGTTTTGGTACTGGTCAAAGTACCAAATATACTCAGAATATACTGAGCTGCATATTT